AGACTGGAATTTTCTATTTATGTTTTTTAAAGACAAGACAGAGGGTAATTCAAGAGCATACGTAAATCTGAATATGAGTAAATGCTACTTAAGCACTTAATCTTATCTTAATCTGTCTTCGAATGATGAAGAATCAAAATGCTGTGATGTCAACACAAACAATTTTTCCCCTGATGATTAAGATGGAAGGCCTCGTAACCAAAATGGTTCTCTCCTCTTAGGTTCTCCTCACTCAGTATACGAAACGCACCAGCATTATGAACGAATGAATGAATTAATTAAATGAGTACTTTTATTATACACTACAAATCAATATTTTATTTAAATGTTACCTCCACGGTAGGATTTTCTACTGTATAGTGGCACCGCACCTTCACGATACAGATAACCAAGGTACTCAAATATAATTTTAGAATTACATACATAAATTTTACAAGGACACACATCCAGACCCGGAAAGATTATTAATAAGCCACTTGTTCAGTGCGAGATTCGAGGCCGCGGATCTGCAACGCCGCAAACATACACTTACCCACTGCGCTATGGAGCCGTTATAATTTACTTAATATATTTGCATAATATATTAAAATATAAAGCAAAGTAAAATAAAGTTGCAGCCTATTTACGTCCCACGGCTGGGCACAGGCCTCCTCCCATTTCTAAGAGGGTTTTAGGGCAAGGAATGTCCGCCGCGCTGCCCCAATGGCGAACTTCAGATGTCTTCGAAATATTTTTTTCTTATTTCTCAGACATGCAGGTTTCCTCACGATGTTTTCCTTTACCGCCGAGCACGTGGTAAATCAGCACTTAAAATTGCAATTAACAATTTCGTTGGTGCCGGCGGGAATCGAACCAGGGTTGCTCGAGTACTGTAAGCTTACTGCGAGCGCTTACCATCTAAGCTACCACGGCTCTAGAATATAACTTAATAACAGATAATTTCCGATATAAGTGTGTGGGTTGACAACAGATTACAATGGCTTTTCTAAATGAGGATAAGAGCTAATATGAAAGTATAGTAGTAGCTAGGGACTTGAATATTGTAACGTCAATGCACATAATACATAAACTTTGTAAGCCGAACTAATTCTGCTTGGAGCGCAACAGCGATTCAACATCCCCCAGTAAAGTCGGAGATTTTATCGATCAGCTATTGTTAGACAGGCTTAATACGAGAACAGTATATGTAAGCCGAACCTGTAAAAGTTGCTGTAAATTACACAACACATTTAAGGTTCGATCCCCGTCGAAATCAACAATTTACCATTTTTAATTTGCATTTATTTAGTTGCAATTTGAAGTTTTGATTTACCACCTGCATGGCGGTGAAGGTAAAAGCCGTGAGGAAATCTGCAAGTCTGAGAAATAAAATGAAATATTTTGAAGACGGTGGACACTTTCTTAACCTAAAACTATACCCCCAGAAACAGGCAACTAAACTAAGAAGTAGTACGTACATACATAAATGTATATATAACTTTACTTCACTTAATGTATGAAGAGAACCAAAAGCAGAAAATTATGTTAGATTTATGTGCCTACGCCAAAAGCCAGGTAGTGGCTGCATTATGGAATCCAACTCATTTATTATAATTTTTATCGTAAATGACGACTCATTGATCGTATATGACTCGGCAGATGAACAGCAGCAATAACCTGAAACCTCAAACTAAAAATTGCGGTATTTATTCTACCTGCCAAGGGTGTCAATTATGTCAATTATATAGGGGATGTTTTACTTGCATCTTTAGGACCAAGTCTTTATATTACGATGAGCTGCAACGATAATGACAATTATAACACAGCCTAAACTTTTATTTGAAAATATAAAGCATTGAATTATTATATCTCGCGTGGCGCAGTGGCTTAGCAATGAGTTGCAGCGCTAAAGGGCGTGTAGTATTTACATATATACTACTATGAATTCCTTGAACTAGATATAACTAAAATAAATTTCACATTTTTTACGTGGTAGAGCCATGCTACAGCTATATTAGTAGTATAGTTGTGGCACGAATGGGTCGGCTCGACCGGAGAAGCACCACGCTCTCACAGAATATCAGCGTAAAATAGCAGTTTAAGACTGCTGTGTTTCGTATGGTGAGTGTAGAGAACCGGAGACCCTTTTTACTGGAAAAGATGCATTCTATCTTAGTCCTCACGGGTGACAACGCATCTGCATTTTGATTCGCAGATGAGAATTAATGTAGATATGTATGGGCCACAGCAAACACTTACCATCAGGTGGACTGTGTGCTCGTTTGTTACCCTATCCTATAAAAAAATCATTATTATTTAAAAAAAATGCAGGAAATATTGAAATATGGATCAAACAATAACTTATTTATTATATTTGATATAAATCCCTTATAACAATTAACTTCAGCTATTAACAATACATATATCTATGTATATTGGGAAAATATTAATTGATGTCTGAAATTGGGGTCTGAAGAAGACTTGATATTGTCGGTGAAACTAAAATAGGTGAAATAACAAATAATATAACAAATTCAATTATATTTTCTTATGGAGAAGTAATTAAGAAACATGATATATTTATGTGCAGATCCATCAAATAAATTATAATTTGACTGTATATTGGCGTAACGTAGCGTGTAGTGGCGGTTAATATCCACTACCCCATATCGTTCCGTGGGTATCGTATGAGGTGACCGGGGGTAACTAAAATAGGAGATAGGTTGCAGCATCTTCCGTGATAATAATCCAAAAATTTACTGCGGTTGCCAACCTGCCTGCCAAAGTAACTATGGCAAAATTCCCCCTACGAGATAGTCCTATGTTCAGAAGTAGACTTTTATAGGCTGTAATGAATGAATGAAATGGATGACTGTGTATTGTATATAAAAGTGAAATGGTGCGACGATCTGCGAATGGTGGTTGACAGCAAATGTACATGAGCAAAGATCGGTGATAGTGGATCATGTGGTGATGGCGTAAGATCCGTTTTCTAATCCATTCATCATTCCATTATCTCCTTTCGTACAGAAGATGTATGCAAAAGATGGATAAAAGTCTTGAGCGACCTCGTCACTTTAAATTCCACTTATTTTTAATTCCCGATATTTTGGGTGCTTTGCAAGCAACGTCCATGTTTATGGTGCAGATTGGAGTGTTTGAAGTCTTAATGTGATGGTTAATTCGGGCTACCTTTAGCTTATTATAATTAATTTTTTGTCCGATCTTCGCAAACAGGGTCTTGAAGTCTTGCAGTGGTATGCTTAAGTTTGGATGTTTTTTGCTGGTGTTATTTTGCAAGAATTCTACATGAGTATATTGCGTACCATACATATAGTAATTTTTATTTACTTTTGCCACTTGTACGGAAAAGATCTATGTCCTAGGAAGAACCAGCAAAAATCCCAGCAGGACTTTTTTCACAGTAAAATTATGCACTAAAACTCAGATTGTACAAACTAATTATAAAACTTATTGCAGAATTAGCTTGGAAGCGACCACCACATTTTTTCATATCAATCATGCATTCATTTATTTTACAATAACCCTTTTTAAACAGTTTTTGCTTAATAAAATACTCGTATTATCCTATCCTGTTAGACAAACTAAATAAATATGGTATAAGAGGTCTGCCTCATGCGCTTCTATTAAATTATCTCACGCACGCACGCACGCACGCACGCACGCACGCACGCACGCACGCACGCACGCACGCACGCACGCATGCACGCAAGCACGCACGCACGCACGCACGCTCGCACGCACCCATCGCACGCACGCACGCACGCACGCACGCACGCACGAACGCACGCACGCACGCACGCACGCACGCACGCACGCACGCACGCACGCACGCACGCACTCACGCACGCACGAACGCACGCAAGCAAGCACGCTCGCACGCACGCACGCACGCACGCACGCACGCACGCACGCACGCACGCAATCACGCACGCACGCACGCACGCACGCACGCAAGCACGCACGCACGCACGCACGCACGCACGCACGCACGCACGCACGCACGCACACACGCACGCACGCACATACAACACACACACACACACATTTATAATATATTGTAAATTACATTACTCCCTAATGCTAGCGCATGCCTTGCCTTTTGTTATTAATTGATTAATAACAGTAACACAGGTAACCAACCTAGTGCAGGGGCCCTTGCGACTGCTTTAAATTGTATCATTGTAAATCAATAAATCATTTTTCATTTTTTTTTCAATATTAAAACATGATAATAAAATGATTGATAGAAAAATGATCGCCATATATCGCATTCCATAGTCGCTTTTACGACGCACACGTGACCAAATGGTGTGATGGATTTTCCGTCTTGCATGAATCGGCAAAGGGCACTGTTAAAATTTGTAAATTAATTACATCTAATTTACTAGAATTTGTAGGGAAATTAATAAGTTAAATTAAAATAAAAAATAACCTCATGGAAATCTATTATAAGGCTTAAAATTGGAACGACTATTTTAATTATTTATTATATTCCCTGCCTTCAATTTTCCATTCGTATCCTTTTCAATGTTTCTTTTTCATCCCTTGTTAAATTTTCCAGTGAACGAAGCGGAGCTTGAGGGCTGAATAATAGAATTGTTTGTGATTCGTCGTCAGTCTCTATTATAGTCTTTTTTTGTTAGGTCTTCAGATGAAAAATGAAGCATAACAAAAACAATTATTATATTGACTAGAATGTTATTGCTATTAAAGATGAAATTTAATTTCCTTTAAAATGTTTGGTAGGGTGATAGTTGCCACATGCAGTCATACTTATACGTAGTACGGCCATGCTGCAGTGTCGCAGAATTAATGAGTCGGCTTGACCGGGGAAGAACCACGCTCGCACAGAATACATGGTTAATTAACAGCATAAGTGATAAAAGAGGTACGGATACCCTCTTTCTGTATATATCCTATCCTAATCCTCAATTCTGACAACAAATCTATATGGTTCGCTAACGTAATGTCATGCTAAAATTAATAGTGTTAAATACCTTCCACATCATCTTGTTGGTTGGCAATGTTGTTGGCAATGCTCTCGTAACGTTCAGACAAATTGTAGAATTTGCTTTTACTGGTAGTAGTTTTTCCGGACTTACCATGGAAGTCCTTTGTGTACATACACATGTGGTTATAAAACGTTGGTACCCTTTTGTCACATTTTCTATAAAAATAACTATTATATATCCTGCGTAGTTGATGGTTTTTGATTATTCAAATTAGTTAGCCGTGGATGACAATTGGTCAACAATACGGTGTCAGTTATTATTATATTGTCTCCTAACTATACTGTTGCAATAATTTTAATTATTAAAATTCAAAAAAGAGGATATTATATGCCGTTTTCTTCGCCATTTCTGCTCCTGTTAAAGTTCTTTTTTTTCATTCGGAAATATTTTTATTATATTTTATTTTAATTAAGTACTTAAAAATTGTCATTTAAAAATTTGCGGCGTGTATTTTTACACTTTATTTTTTAGCGAGGAATCGTAGAAAAAAACCTGCATTTCTTATCATAGCGAAGACAAGATATACTACAGTAGCTATTCTAAATTATCTTACGAATTAAAGCGACCAAATTAAGGTGTAAACCATGACTTTAGCATTTCATTTTTGTTTCATTATTGCAATGCCACAATGACTGAAAAGACTTCATTTCGGACGGCGCAGCGATGACAGGAAGAGTAACAAGCAACTTTTTCGTTTAGGCTTTTATTCGGGATCTTTTGTACGCCAGATTGAATAAGGAACATTAACAGATGACAATAATGGACATACCCCTAAGTCTGCACAATGGAACTGGGAGGAAGTCTTTAAATTTAAAAAAGAATAATTTACTCTTATTAATAATTAACCTAAAATCTAATATATTAAAGTTAAATTCACAGCCTGAACATATCCCTTTGCTGGGCAAAGTATCCTCACATTTCTAAAGAGGCCAAGGAGGTGTCCGCCGCGCTGTCCCAATGTGTGTTGGCGAACTTCACATGTCTTCGAAATATTTTTTCTTATTTTCCTTCACCGTGGTAAATCAGCACTTTAAATTGCAATTAACAATTTTATAAGTACCAGTGGGGATCGAACGCAGGTTGATCGCGTACTAAGATATATTTACAGCGAACGCTAACCATCTGAGCTACTTATTAGATAGCTAGATATTTTTTTTATTTCTGAAAAAAAAACCACGTAACCTCTACACTAGGATTCTCTTGTATCGTGGGGGCAGTTAACATACATACATTTCACAAGGACAAACATGCAGACCCGAAACAATTATTTGTAGACCATACAAAAACTTGTTCCGTGAGGAATTCATTCCCGCGGTGCTTAGCGCTGCAACTCATTGCTAAGCAATTGCGCCCGAAGCCGTCATTAAAATTTATGTTTCCTTTTCATATTTTAAAGATAGATACTGTATTTTAGAAATAAATTAATAACACATTGTAATAGCAAAAAATAATGTAGATAAGTACCAGTGTTTAACTATGCTTAGTAACTGCGGCCATCCTTTTTTATTTTATAGAAGATCAAACTAATACAAAACCATACAGCCACATCACCCGTTTGAATAAAAGTACGTCTGGAGAACACGTCCTGCGTTTCGTGGAAGAACAAAGCCCATGCCGCATTGAGGATCCGAGCGCTTTACATTTGGCCTGGAATCTAATAGGTCAACAAATTTCAAATCCTACGTACTCCAGGTTCCTGCAAAACACAAAGAGACATTCCTCGCTCCCGATTTCTGGCCCTCCGGGGTAGTGCTCCGCCGATACAGGTTCGCGCCACAGAAGAAAGTTCCCTAAATAGTGTTATGTCTATATTCTATATATATTTTTAGGTTAAGGTATATATTTCTATGGACCAATGTTCTTAAGTCCTTGATGCCTGAAATAAAGTAATTGTATTGTATTGTATAAAACCAAAACAGCATTACGCTGCTACTACTTCACATTGGTATTCTATGAGGGCGTGGTCTTTCCTTGTTTGGGCGTACCTATTCGTGCTAGATCCATAAGTAATCCTTGTTTTGCTGCATGTATCCATGAGCTGAAGTTACAATAAAGTTTTTATTTACGATTACCATCAAGTGTAATCTTATCTTGTTTGTCACTATTACTATTTAACATAAAATCCGCGACGTGAACGACACTTTCTGTGTAAGTTCTACTCATTTTTGAATCACAAAATTTTTCTAACGGTTATATATTGAAATAACTGGCTTCTATTAAGCTCAGGGTATTATTTGTACGCTATTTATACATAAACAATGTCTGTTTTGTTTGTCTATCCTATTAATCTTTGGAATGGCTAAACCGTTTATGATTTAACTCTGCGAACAGATAGTGAGCAATGTCAAAAGGGGTCTATGTTATATTTTTTCCAAAAAACTTGAAGATTTTTTCTTTGGTTATGTTAAATGTAAATAATGCCGCATTAATAAAGTCTATCCAGGCGACACCGGGGCGGGTTTTTTTAATAATAAATAGTAGGGATTTTGCGAATTTCTATTTTAGTAGGTAATAGAAATATGAATGGAAAATTGTAGATATATTGTGTATGAATATAGTTTGAAAGGGAAAATGAAATGTGAAAAAAATCTAATTTTACCTGAATACGGAAACTAAGAAAATACGTAACATAATATTATGGAATAAAGTAAGGAGACTTGTATGTATGGTAAATAAAAATATCTTGAAAGCATGTAAAGGCTTACGTGCACTGGATCAATCTAGTGCACGAGCTGTTTCTATAACACTCTGAGAAATGAGAGAAGGCCTAACAGTGCCCGACAATGTGGGGTGACTTACAAAGCGCTTCTTTCGAAGCTCCCTTCCTGTGGGCTTCTCGAGAAATTATGCAATTGGATCACCAGCTTTCTTGCAGATCGGAGCATCAAGGTCGTTGTAGACGGTGCATGCTCCGACTACAAGCCTATTAACGCTGGTGTTCCACAAGGCTGCGTGCTATCACCAACGCTGTTTCTTCTGCATATCAATGATATGTTGCAAGCCGGTAGCATTCATTGCTATGCGGATGACAGCACTGGTGATGCTCTATACACCGGCCGTGCCAATATTTCTCGGGAAAACGTCACTGAGTACCGGAACAAGCTTGTGTCTGAAGTCGAGTCTTTGCTGGACAAAGTCTCGGATTGGGGGCGACTAAATCTAGTCCAGTTTAATCCTCAGAAGACACAAGTTTGCGCGTTTACCGCTAAAAAGAACCCCTTTGTCGTTTCTCCTCAGTTTCAAGGTACTCCCCTTGTTGCCTCAGCCAGTATCGGAATCCTCGGCGTCGACATATCGAGTAGCGTGCAGTTTCGTGGTCACTTGGAAGAGAAGGCCAAATTGGCCTCTAAAAAGCTTGGCGTGCTCAGCAGAGCGGGACAGTATTTCATGCCGGCTCAACGCCTGCAACTTTACAAGGCGCAGAATACTGTTCCCATCTCTAGGCTGGGGCTCCCCAGTGCCAGCTTCTTCCACTTGACCGCATCCAGCACAGAGCGGCTCGAATCGTCGATGACCGAGTCCTTTCCGATCGGCTCGACTCATTGGCACTGCGAAGAGATGTTGCATCTCTTAGCATTTTCTTTCGCATTTACCATGGGGAGTGCTCTGAGGAATTGTTCGGATTAATCCCAGCCGCCAAATTTCACGAACGCACATCGCGGCAGAACTCTTGATACCATCCACACCATCTGGATGATTGGCGGTCCACCACTGTGCGATTTAGAAGATGTTTTCTTCCTCGCACAACTTCCTTGTGGAATAGTTTACCACCAGCGATTTTTCCGGACCGATACGACTTAGGGAGCTTCAAGAAAAGAGCCTACTCCTTTTTTAAAGGCCGGCAACGCATCTGCAATTCCCCTGGTGTTGCTGTTGTTCATGGGCGGCGGTAGTCACTTACCATCAGGTGAGCCGCATGCTCGTTTGCCTCCTCTCCTATAAAAAAAAAAGACAATGTGACGTATATAGGCTGTAACTTTTTTTTAATATTCATTTATTAACCGTCTCGTTGTTATTGTTGGTTGTAGTTGCATGTAGTCTCAGATTCAAAGCCTGTATTGGGTTTTCTGTCCATAAATTCTTAGTAGCTGCCCGGAGTCAGGAAGTTGCTGATGTTTCACCCTCGTGCCTCGTTGGTCCTGCACCTGATCCCTCCCCAGTCGTGTCCAATTGTCATCCCATCGAACTATGAGGGTGTTGGAATAGAGAGTGCACTTCTGTATGGAGGACATTCATATTATTATACCGCATATCGTCTGCTACAACAGCCACTGCAGCGTCTAACTCACTCTAGGATGTTTCTTTTAGGGGAATAACACGTGTCGAATTATTGATGGTGACGTGTTTTTCCTAGTTTAGTGGTGTAGGTGGTGGTATTGGGGTTAGTGGTGACGGGGATAGTGCACGCAATTGAGGTAGGGAGGGAGGTGCTCTTCAATCTAGTTAAAATACATCATTTTATTTTATTACGCGCTATTCTTATCTAATTAATTTTTAACATATTTGATGTAATGGATTTCCGCAAAGTGACGCCTGATTCTATTAATTAGGTGTTGTTACAGAACAACGATGATGACGTTAAGAATGATCGTTGCTTTATTGTATTCAAAATTTTGTTTTTTGTGTAACCTAAAAGTGTAATGACATGAACTGCAATGTTTCTTTGCCATTTCGTATTCAATATCACAGAGAAAAAAAGCGTAGGTTTGAATAAAATAACTGTTTGGCACGCGCCGCCGTCGTCATAATGAAGTATTTTTGCCGGTTTCTATTTTTTATGTAAATAACTAAAATAAGGAAAGTAAAGGCATTTTTATACAAAAGATAATACAATGCTACCAACGTTAATAATATTCCCGTCAACGATTCAAAATCAGCTTGAAATGCTTGTATTAGAAGTTCGCGCCAGTAGGTGAATGGTGGATTAGAGCTCTCGACTTTCTAGTTAGCGGTCAGTCGGTCGGTCGCTCTTTTTTATAGTATGAGGTGACAAACGAGCACACAATCCACCTGAAAGTAACTAGATTATGTGACTCATAGATATAT